AGCCTGGGAGGCAAGATGGAAGGGATGCAGGAAATGGCAGTAGGAGGGGGAGAGAAAGGTGTGGGGAGAGCAGGGGCAGAAAGGGCCAGAGCACGTTCCCATCTAGAACCTGGAAGTGAACCCAAGAGACCCGAGTCTCTAGATTGCTTAAATCTAGGAGGAGAAGCTAAAGCGACTGGGACTTCTCAGTATGGAAAAGAGGAGGCTGAGGGGGGATATGATAGAGGTCTATAAAATCATGAGTGGTGTGGAGAGGGCGAATAAAGAAAAGCTATTCATTAGTTCCCATAATATAAGAACTAGAGGACACTAAATGAAATTAATGGGGAGCAGGTTTAAAACTAATAAGCGAAAGTTCTTCTTCACACAGCGCATAGTCAACTGTGGAACTCCTTGCCAGAGGAGGCTGTGAAGGCTAGGACTATAACAGTTTAAAGAGAAGCTAGATAAATTCATGGAGGTTAGGTCCATAAAAGGCTATTAGCCAGGGGGTAGGAATGGTGTCCCTGGAGATGGATGGCACGAAACAAATCGCTTGATCATTGTCTTCGGTCCACCCCCTCCGGGGCATCTGGCGCTGACCACTGTCGGCAGACAGGCTACTGGGCTAGATGGACCTTTGTTCTGACCCAGTACGGCCATTCTTATGTTCTTATTGCTCTGCCGAAAGTAGAGCAATCTGAAACTCAACTGGTAAAGTGTGTGTCTCACCTCCCTCTTGTGCCGCACCCGCACTGAAGGGAACAGCCTGCTGCTACCAGTTACTTTGTTACTGCAAGTGACAGTGGCTGGTGCTGTGGCGGGATAATATGATTGCTTGCAATGGAATTTCTGGGGGTTTTAAGTTTGTTTTAAAAAACCCAAAGAATATGCATTAGAAAAAAAAAACCTGGTAAAAGAACATTAGGTTATAAAGTTCAGTTCTCAATAGTTAGAAAGTGTCAGAAAAAATGTTCCCCATACAACTTTAGTGTGGTTTCTTGGTGCAAATTCCAAGATCCTGCTCCAAATCATGGGTTTGCTAGTGCTTTTCAGAGAAATAGCTGGATACAAATATTAACACAAGCAAAATTATCAAGTAGTGGAAAAACAGGCCTTGTTCTGGGAAACAGCATCCTTCATAAAGGAAAAGAAGTTGCCCGAGGCAGAGATCGGAGGTAGAAGATTCCAATCTAAATGGTTACAATTTGGCAAAGTTATGGGAAACTGACAACAGAGGCTTGGAATGGAAAGCAATAGGCTACCGTAGCTGTAGGCATTAAGATCCAGTGGTTGAATCTCCTTTTATCAATTTTGAATCTGGCATCTTTTTAAGGTCATTTAACCCCCCATCCTCACAAGAACAAGGAGCAAACAGATCTCCTGATCTTCCTTCTCTAGACCACTCACTGCTGAATAGGCTTGTCTGTCCCCTCTGTAGGGTAACCACTAGGGATGTAAAATCCCATTTAATTGCGAAAGCGGTTAAACGTGATGTTTAACCTGTTAGAGTTAGAGAGCTGGGCGGGAGGGGCGGGGCACAGATAGCTGGAGCAGCCTTGCCTGTGATGAGCCCAGGCCCACCACAGGAAGGGGCTGTTCCAGGCAGCGAGCCCCACAGGGCTGAGCCCCCTGCACACGGCAGGCAGGGAGCTGCTCCAGACCCCATCGGTTAACCTTTCACATCCCTGGTACCTACCCCGTCTTCACAATTTCTCTTCCTAGGAGAATGTCTCCAGGCGCTCACCTACTCTGAATCCCTGTTAGTTGTGCAATATCTGTTCAGGGACAGGTGTCCAGTGCTGTGCACAGCATCCAGATGAAGCCGCACCGTAGCATTGCAGAATGGCATTATAGCATTCTCTAGATTAGTCTTCTCCCCATCACGATTATTAATGCACTTGGAACCAGCTCTGAACTCTAGGAACAAAGCCTTCAAGTGGCAATGGATGCATACTGGGTGTCAGATTTCATGTGCTCCTGGGGTACATGAGGTGGGCTGCTACCTTTTGCACGTCAGTCCTGGGGAACTGCAGACTGGCCCAGAGGTGGCAGCTTCCCCCTGAGTATGTGCACAAGAGAAAAGTGCACTCCTGTTACTAGCAAACAGGGGTGCTGCTTGCAGTCTGTGGCGGGACTGCCAGGCGCTGTGCTACTTTGACCTGTCTCTGTTACAGAACATTTTAGACTATACGGAGAAACTGAGTCCACAGCAAATCCGGAAGCTCTTCTACATTCTGGGCGAGCTGGCCTTCAGCCAGAGGCAGGAAGACAGCTATCTGCAGGTGAGTGGCGGGCGAGGAAGGAAGCAAGTCTCTGGCCTCTCCCCTTGCTGTGCTGGTTTGTACTGCTTGCGTGGTGCGGAGACAGCAGCAGCAGGCCCAGGATGGTGCAGCATGCGCAGTCCTTGGGCGTCTTGGGATTTCTGGTGCACAGTATCTTTTAAATTCCTTCCCCTCACCCTGCCTTTACTCAGCCAACGTGATAGTGGTGAGACACTTCTCCTGTGGACTCGTTCCTCTTCCAAACAGGAGGCACTTCCTGCTGCTGCCGCACATCCAATAGCTCCACTCCACACCCTGGGGGGCACAGCAGTAGAACTTGGTCCCTGCAGCCCTAGGAATCTCTCGGGAAGAATAGCTCAGCTACTGCACCCCCAGTAGGCCTGCCGCAGGAGAGCTTCTCTCCAATAGGCAACTTACAGCTGGCAAAATAGACACGAAGCAGCTCTGCCCCTGAAGTTGCCCCTCAGAAGAGCATTTTCTCTCTTGCATCGCTGCACTGAAAAGTTAGACTTCAGAGCTTGGCTCTCAAACTCCAGAGCAGTGGTGGGGCAGCCCATGCAGCCCACTGGGGCTCTGAGTGTGGCTCCCGCGCAGGGTTGCCAGATGGCTGGTTTTCGCCTGCACAGGGTTTTTCCCACCAGCATTACTAATGGGACGACCACGTAAAGCAAGGGCATGTCAAGTGAGGTACGTGCTGGCTGCACACAACATTGAGAGCTGTGTGCTCCCTCTGCATCTACTCAACAAGCTGCTGTGCTGCCCAGCCACACAAGTGCAGTGAGTAAAACTCCCCTCTACCCACATGTGTGTTAGCTACAACAGTCATGCGGCCCTCGTGCCTCCCACTCACCTGCCTAGGTTGCCCCCTGCGCTCTAGAGAATGCGTGTGTGTCATCTGAACTGACTTCTGGCGCGTTATACAGCACCCCAGGGAGCAAGTCAATTGCCCAAGTGACAACAGCATGGTCTGAATTTCATACCCGTCCACAAGGCTTTGGTCAGGGAACACTAGGAGGTGAGACCTGGCCTTAGAAACAGTATAATCCTGCAGATAAAAATACCTTTCCATACACTTTTAATAACCACGGAAACAATCTGGACTATAGTTCCGTCAACTGAATAATTAAAGCAAAGGTCAAAACAAGCCTAATTTTGGAGCCTGGGTTGCAGCTCTACTGTGATTGTGTGGCCAGTGTCTCCACAGTAGAGGAAGTTACTCTCAGGCTCCAGAGTGCAACCCAAACCAGTGAGGCGCTGTATCACTGCCCCCTTCCCCACAGTTCTCCGAGTGCTTTGAATATTCTGCTGCTTGGACTCCCCGCCAGAGCACTGAGAGCCTGCAGACGAGTGCACACTGAGCATCGGAGTGGTGAGCACGTCTGACTCCCGGAGCCTGTCTGCAGCACAACAGCACTCTCTGCCTTCTGTCACCCACTTACCTTATGGAGGGGTGAACCCAGCATACTCCCTGGCCCAAAGTTCCTCCAAGTCATCTGCCCTGAAATATCCCGTCCCCTCCAAGAAAGCTCAGAGAAATAATGTTTGTTTGCTCCTCCAAAGCGACAAAATGTGCTGAGCTGATCACTGTGACTGGCATAAACTATTGCTTCAGTTCAGACACAGCACTGGCTCAGTTCAGATTAAAAGTAAAACAAGTTTATTAATAAGAGGAGGCTAGATTTGTAGTGAGTTCTTGAATCCAGGATAGCATTAGAACTGGTCACAAGCAAATAAAAGTGGAAAATACTGTCTGGTGGCTAAGCCTTAACTCCACAAGCTGCAGCCTTTGTTCAAGATAATCTGCTTGTCAGTCTACCACCCAGCAAGGTGGCTGAATGCCTGTTTGATCAGGAACTCTCACGGGGTCCAAGGCGCTCGGTTATGTTGTCATCTTGAGTGAGAAATTAGTTGGGGTTCTTTCCCCCTTCCTGGATAGCTCATTTTACGAGGCATAAGGGATCTGTCGCCAAAGGCTTTAGTGAGCGATATAACCGTGGCTAGACTGCCGCTTTTCGTCGCCAAAGTTCCGTGGCGACAAAAAGCGGTGGCCATTTTTATGCTAATGAAGTGTGGGAGATTTAAATCGCCGCTTCATTAGCAATTTCGGTATGTCTAATTTACATCCCTCTGGCGACAGAGTGATGTAATCTAGACGTACCCATGGTGAAGGATGCTGGTTCCCTTCTACACTGGATTTGGATTTGCTAAAATCCAGAGTGATCTGTTCCTACACTCCCTTCTCCCTGCCACCATGCTGAGTGGTTCTCTCCTCCTCTCAATGTAACAAGGAAAGAACTTCAAGGGGGCGGAACCACGTTCCTTTGTCTAGTGTGGGGTAAATTCAGCCCCACCTGGCAGGCACGCTTTGACAACATCATTCCTAATGTGTTTATAAACTTCAGCCCTGCCTGGCAGGCGCGCTTTGACAACATCATTCCTAATGTGTTTATAAAGCTGAATCTGTCCTCTCCTCATAAGCCCCCCAAGGATACTGATGATCAGTAGGAAGTTAGATTTTATTGATGTCTTAGATGCCATCTTTTATATGCCATTTATGACATTAAGAATTTGGGGTACACTCAACTGGGCAGCCCAGCTGAAACTCAGTGCCAGATACCCGTGAGCCCCTTGCTTTCGGCACAGGGTTTCTGTTCGAGTCCATCACGTGGCTTCCCTTACAAGGATGTGCTTCCCACAGGCTGGCTCCCCAGCTGTGGGAGGACGTGCGCAGGGAGGTAGTGAGCTTTGTGATCTCTGGCGGGCTCTGAGGCAGATTGTTGGAAAGTGAGATGGTCACAGCCGTCCCGTTCACGCACACAAATGCCCACGTGGTGATGCTGCATTCTCGGTCTCTCTCTGCAGGATGACATGCACATGGTGATCAGGAAGTGGCTGTCCAGCACTGTTCCTAAGTACAAGCAAATGGGGATTATTGGTGCTATTACCATGGCAGGCAGCATGGCAGCAAAGAGGTGAGTGAGAAGTAGAACCCATCAGCAGTCCTGAGCCAGCGTGACACAACCAGAGCTGGCAAGAGGGGAAGGAGAAAGGGGACAGGCCTGTGATGGACACACTAAGGTCTCACTGGAGGAAAACCGCTCACAAAAATTCTTTGCACACTCCTGTGCCATGTATCCACATGTCCTGCTGCTGGTCTTGCCACTGATAATGCTGATCCTGAGGTGCCTTGACTAGCATCCGCTGGAGCTGTGACTGGAAACGATTTGGGGTCAAGTCGGTGGAACGTGCGCCTCTGTGGCGAATGCAAATCTTCGCTGTAAAACCAGTTGATTCCCGAGTTCTTCCCCTGTGAAGTACGGCATTGTGTGCACCCCCAAGCTGCTCTAGAACCTTCCCTGGCAGACTGCCCAAGCCATGCTTAGGTTAATCACAGCCTTAGGCCTGCCATCCCAACAGTGGAAACGAGCACTTTGCAGTGCTGCTCCCAGGATCTCCCTCTTGCTTTCTGCCATTCCCTGTTTGTGCTGACACCTGGAGCACTGGGGCCGAGGCATGGCAGCGAGGTGTGTGTCCATGTGGTAGCCCCATCTTCCTCCAGGGCACAGAGCCCGGCCTTTTAATGCTCACAGGTCTGAAACCAGTTTGTCCATTGATTTCAGAAGTAAAGACGATGGGCGTTTGCTGGAGAGAACGCCACAGAATGAAGAGCATGGCAGACAGGTGAGTGCCAGCACAGAGTGTATGTCAAAGGGAGACTGGAGTCCATGCAGCTGCCAGGGGATTGTGCCTCTCTGGGGAGGTCAGGGTCCCATGGGGCAAATGGGATGTTTGTGTCAGTGTAGGGCCTGGGAATAGGGGGAGACAGGTTTGTGGGTCTGCAAAGAGGATCCTGAGAAATGCTTTGGGGGAAGAGAAGGTCTGTGATTGGTCTGTAACTGCTTTGCTCCAAGGAGTCCAACAGTGTCTCACAGAATGGGGTCCTGCTAGTCACTGCTGCAACGCAAATCCATCCTGTGAGGGGGCAGGTGGGTGGAGAAAGGCAGGGGCTTATGGGCTTCGTGTGCCAGTGAGAGGGGCTGGGCCAGGCAGGAGTTTGTGGGCGAGTTTGGGAGCTGTGGATCCGCCTGTGTCTATCTGAGTGGGGGGTAAGGTACATATTACTCCCCTGTTGTTGGTCCTTCTTTGCAGCTCTCCGTCTTGCTCGATCTGGTGAGCTACTGTTGCGAGCAAAGTTCCGAGGCCTTGGCTCTGTATTACGATGAACTTGCCAACTTGATTGAGAAACAGAAAGGGAATTTGGATTTGCAAATCCTGGTATGTTACAGAGCGGTTTGTGTGCAGTGCCTTTCAGTGGCATGCAGCATGCCCAGGCATTATGGGGCAGCATCCGTGTAAGACTCACACTGTCTTTCTAGTGTCGCCTGCAGCAATAGCAGGGGTTCCTGTAACCCACTAAGAATAGAGAGGAAAATCTTTTCTTTCCACGTGTTTAATTTTTGGTTTGCATACCTGGAGCAGTCTGTTGTGTTTGTGTGCCTTTTGCACAGCCCACTCAGAGAGAGAAGCTTTTTAAAAAATAGCAAATGTGGTGGTAAATGTTCCAGACATAGCGCATGGGGAGTGGGGGGGGCAAGATGGGTTGCAACTCAAACTACTTCAAACTTTTGTTTTGTACTTGGCATCCCTTTAAACATACAAGGCTCTGTATTGTCCAGGGGTTTGGAGGAGCCACCATAGGCTGCTTGGGGTGGGAGCAGAGTCTTGACTGGTAGGAGCCCTTCCAAATCCTGCATGCCCTTTTGCTGTGCCCCCGGGGGAAGGTAGCAAGCATACTAGGGGCTGGGAGGGATATGAGGGTGGCTGGTGAGGAATATGAGCAGGTGGGGCTGTTGTGGGGGTGGTCTCGTGTATTGGGGGCACAGGAGAGAGGGCTGGTCTTGGGAGGAGGGTGGAAGTGTTGCTATGGGCCCATCCAAGATTCATACCTAAAGTGTTCTCAGAATGGCACATTAATCTAATCAAATCATACTGCCCTGGATACTCAGTTCCAAGACGCATCAGATCAGTCAAGAAGTCATATTCTGTACTCTAGATGCAGGAGGGCATTAGTCTGTTACCTAGACGGGTCTAAACCATTCAGAAATCCTCCTGGGCTACTTTGTATCCATTGCAGAAACAAAGTTTTGAAACAGAGGTTATCGAAGTAGGTCTCTGGTTATACTGAGATTGACTGTGACAGCCCCTTCAAGAGCGATAGCACATTCTAGATCTATAGCCTTACTAAGGGATGTATCAGGTGCAGACACCTGTAGAATGGCACTTTGATCGATGCAAAATCACATGTTGCTGAAGGCAAATTCACACCATTCACCATGCAAAATGTGTTACAGGCTGTGAAATCTGGTCTCCCTCTGTGAAATCTGGTCTTTTGTGTGCTCTTACCCTCTACTATACAGTTTCATGGGGGAAGCTAGTATTTCTCAAGTGGGGGATCCTGCCCGAAAGGGAGTTGTGGGGCTCACAGAGTTATTAAAGGCGGATTGCAGTATTGCTCACTTTTATGCAGCCTTCAGAGAGTGGCAGGGGCTGACTGAGGGCCCAGCTCTGCAGGCAGCAGTGCCGAAGGGAGGGTGGCAATACCATACTGTGCCGTGCCATCCTTACTTCTGTGTTGCCGCAGGCTCTGTCTTCAGCGCTGGTCTCCTGGCCAGCAGCTGCTGCTTTCCAGCAGCAGCACAGAAGTACGTGTAGTAGTACTGCAAACCCCTACCCTGTGACTCGCCCAAAGCTCCTTTTTGGGTCAGGACCCCTACAATTACAATATAGTGAAATTTCACTGTTAGAATAGCTTTGAAATCAAGATATTTATGATGTTGTAAATCCTCTGGTGTGAAATTGCCACTTTCTTTTGTGTGGGACTCTGTTCCTGCCTGCTTAGGGAAGTGCTGGTTAGAAGTTACCTGAAGTGACAGGAACCTCAATCCCCTTTAAGCTGCGTGGCCGTGCTGTTTCCTATTAAGCCCTGCGCACTACCCATTAAGCCTGGAATGGGCTCCCAGCTGCAGTGGGGAAAGTCCTCTCTCCCCCAGGCAGCCTGCACCCCATTCCACAGACCACACCCCCAGCCCTCACCCTCTGCCCCCCCCCCCCGGAGCCCACTCCCACCGCACGCCATCCATGTGGGGAACGGCTTTGTTCTGTGATACAGCACCCCCATGTAGGTGCACTTACGGGACGTCAGTTAGAGGGAGCATTGGCAAACACGCTGCTCAGAGGGGGAGGAGAGTGACTCCCCTTCTGTGCTAACCAGAGCTTCTGGAGATGCTGTCCTTGTAAGTGCTCCGCTAGCCGTCGTCCTTACTCACTGCTTAGGAGACTTGCGGGTGGAGAAGGAACTGAGGGCAGTTTGCCCAAACAGCCCCACGGAGCCTGGCTGTGAAGCATGAGGACGTGTGGGGCGCATACATGGGCACTGTTCCCAAAAGGCAGGTGCAGCAGAGACGCAAGCCTCCGAGAGCTCCAGTTACCGCTCAAGGCGGTGACTGCTCCTTCCTGCACTCCCGGAGCACCTCCTTTCACTAGCCCTTGTGCTAAGCTCTGCTTCTCCTTCTTCCAGGACCGCCTTGGCAGCAGTGTCCTTGAGGACTTTTCCAATGACTTTGTGGTGGATCTCACGCCTGCAGTGGATGGGTATGCTAGAGAGCTGCTACGTGTTAACACGAACAGCACTGACTGTCACTAGCTGAGTTTGCTAATGGGATGTTGACTGTCTCTGACAACGGTCTCTCTGCAGCGTTCACCTGTTCCCAGTAAAGTCCTTGTATAACCTGGATGAAGATGAGAGTCAGGGAGCAATTGTTATCAACCTGTTGCCACTGCTGTCACAGAAGTGGGTTGGCAAGAGTGTTGATGAAATGGCACCTGGGAACCAGGGTAAGAAGTAAGTGATGCCTCCCTTTTAAATCATTTCACTGTCCAGTGAGTTGTGGCGATGTTCCTCTTAGCACAAGGTACCAGAAGTTCTGGCTACAGTTCTGCTTCCGAAACGCATAATGAAAACTAGACAGAAGAGTTAGGCAGGAGCCTGTATTCTTGTCCATGTTGTGCACTTGCAGATGTCGGGGGCTGTTTGGTGTGGGAGAGGCAGGATGATGCAGTGGTTTGGAGTCCTGCAGCCTGTTCCCTGCTCTGCCGCAGGCTGCCTTTGAGAAATTGCGTCAGTTCCCCATTTGCAGAGTGGGGAAAACAGCCCTACCCTGCCTCCTGGGGCTGTAACAATAGCTGGATGAAACTCATACTGTCGGAATGGGATCCATGATAAGCACCAGAGATGGATTTAGTTTAGAGAGAGGCGTGAGAGGCATATAACCCAGCGTCCCGTTTTATTTGTTCTTTTCACACAAGAACAAGACATTCACTGAATCGGCAACATTCAAACTGGCAAACAGAATTACTTTTTACTACCCTGTATTCAGCATGGGAACGTATTGCCCCCAAAGCTCCCTGAGGCCAAGAAATATTTTGGATTCATTTTGATATGAGTGGCGAGAAAATCCAGAGCTCAGTTCATGTGAAATACACTTTGAGAACCCTCCTCCCCCAGGTCAAAAGCAACCAGCAACTGAGGGAGTTGGAAGGAAACCTCTCTGCCGCAGTCACTCACTTCATAGCTTCTCACTCCTTCCTCTGACTCGTTGGAGATGGAAGGGACCCTGGCCTGAGCTGATCTGTTCAAGTGCAGCCTCTTTTCTACCTGTGGTTCTCTGCCTGAAACATTTGAGATCAAGGACTTGATTCTTCGGGAGTGACGCCGAGGGAGGAGCGTTAGTTACCAATGGTGCTTTTCTGCCCTGCAAACTGGCAGATGATTACAGATGGGCAAAGTGGCTTCAGGAGGACAGGAAATGTTTCTTTCTTGAGGTTCTGCTGGGCAGATGATTACAGATGGGAAAAGTGGCTTCAGGAGGACAGGAAATGTTTCTTTCTTGAGGTTCTGCTGGTGGGGAGCAGAATGCAGAGCCAGCCTCTCTTCTTTTCCCAGGGTAGCGTCTCCAGAGTGTCTGTCGCCCTCTTTCCGACTGCTGAGGCTGTACACGGCGGAGCAGCACAATGGGAGCATGGAGGAGATCGATGCCTTGCTGGGTATGGGAAATAGCCATTAAGCCCTACCTGCCTGAGCCAGTCTCCCTGCCTTACCTCTCCGCAGTCAGTGCAGGAGAGGTGGGGATGCTGTGGTCAACCCCTGGGCTTGTGGGCTCCTCTCTGACCCTGACCTAAGGGGGCTCGGTTTCCTCTGGTGGGAGGCTGAGTTCGGTGCTCCGTGTGGTGCTTGGTACAGAGCATGCCTGGGGGATAAAGCGTTCCTCACCCAGGGCAGCCAGAGCTGAGTGTCATGCTACTGAGTTTAGGCAGCCCTGTCCCTGCTCTGTTCCAGGCTGTCCCCTGCACCTGACTGAGCTGGAGGTCGGAGGGAAGCTGGACTCCCTAGCCAAGCAGGAAAGGGAGTTCCTGTGCTCACTGCTGTTTCATGCACTCAATTGGTTCCGGGAGGTGAGTGGCTTGGGCTAAAAGGCCTGGCAAGGCTGCAGTCAGGAGCGCTTAGCTGTGGGTGATAGGGAGCTCCAGCCAGGGGATTGTTCCCTGAGGCCATCCTTGGCTGGGGACCTCCCCCAGGGCCCTCTCCACATCTGGCGTGGGCAGCCAGCGATGCCGTCTGTTACAAGAAACAGCTGTGAGAGCAGTCTGGCCTCTGGCATGTCCTGTCTAACGATTTCAAACCCTGGGCTTGGCATCTGCTTCCCATCGTGCCGCCGAGGTCAGAGAGCCTGAGGCCCGGCCCAGTGACACCCTGTGAGTCCCTGGCTTTGCCTGCACCACTCTGGAAGGTGGTGTTTCCCGCTGTAGCACTCACGGAGCAGGGGAAGTTTGATTCCATCCCAGTCGTTAGCTGCGTATGGGAGGGGGTAGCCCCTCCCTGGTCCTGTTTCTGCAGCTCCGCTTCTGTTTGTAGCACGGTAGCTGGAGGAGAGCTAGCACAGGCTGGAAATTACCCAGTGACAGTCCATGTGCCAGAGCACCATGGCGCTTTCATAGGGACCGTGCTAGAAGTGCAAAGTGCGTGGATAGGTGACAAGAAAACCAAGGGGCCTCTGCCTAAGACAGGGAGTGGAGCTGCAGAAAGAGACAAGGCCTTCCACTCCCTGTGATTGTACTGTAATCCCCTCCTACCAGGCTTGTAACATGCCACCTGCACAGCAGGCCCAACCCCCATGGACCTGGCCTGCCCCTGCAATGCAGGGAGGCTGAGCGAATTGGGTCTGTTTAGTCTGCAGCAGTGAAGAGTGAGGGGGGCTTTGATAGCAGCCGTCAGCTTCCTGAAGGGAGGTTCCAAAGAGGCTGGAGAGAGGCTGTTCTCAGTAGTGACACATGGCAGAACAAGAAGCAATGGGCTCAAGTTGTGGTGGGAGAGGTCCAGGTTGGATATTAGGAAAAACTATTTCCCTAGGAGGGTGGTGAAGCACTGGAATGGGTTACCTAGGGAGGGGGTGGAATCTCCATCCCTAGAGGTGTTGAAGTCTCGGCTTGACAAAGCCCTGGCTGGGTTGATTTAGTTGGGATTGGCCCTGCCTTGGGCAGGGGGCTGGACTTGATGACCTTCCAAGGTCTCTTCCAGCTCTATGGTTCTATGATTCTAAATCCCTGAATCTCCTCCCTGCTCCCCCAGTGCAGACGGCAGTTGTGGGTGCAGACCCCCAAGTCTCTTGTTGCTCTCTTTCAGATTTCAGGGGTTCCATAGTGAAGACCAGCCGTGCATGGCTTCACAGGGTATGCTGTTTACAGTTCATGTCCCTTGCTGGTTGTCACTTCTCCCAGGCCTCCAACACCGAATAGCGCCCCTTTGCTGCCACTGAGTGTGATTTGTGTCTGCAGGTGGTGAACGCCTTCTGTCAGCAACAGGACCTTGAGATGAAAGGGAAAGTTTTGGCGCGATTACAAAATATTACGGAGCTACAGAAGGTGCTTGGAAGGTGCTTGGCAGGTGAGCTGTGCAGAATACAGGCTCCCACGTCCGAGTGAGAATTCGCTCTCGGGAGGGGACCTCTCTACTTATCAAGTGCTTTGTAGAGCTAGTCTCTGAATTATGTCTCCTATGAACTTCTGCCCTGTTCCCAGCAGCCTTCAGGAAGTGTTGGCACCAGTGGAGGGTGATAGATACTCCAGTGGGCCAGTTCATAGCCCTGCCAAGAAGTAATAGCATCTCACCGCTGCATTATAAGCTCTATTTGTAACTCTCTGGACAAAGTGCTCTTGGTGGAGTATGCAAACCCGAACCCTTCTGAGCTACTTCAGCAACACAGAGAGGTAGTCATGGCCCCAGGGGCATATCCCGAAGCAAGAGTGTTCTCTTTGGTGGCCTTCCTACCAGCCCCCACCGTAAGGGGCATGCGGGAAGTTGTCCTGGTCAGTCTTGTTTGGCACTTGGCAGAAAGAGAGCCCTTTTGGCCAGGCCATGAGTTAGAGCAGCCCTGATGGTGCTTATCTTCCAGAAAACCTGAAACTATGGGGCTCAAAGATAAGGCACTGAGCATAGGAGCAGGGGTGTCTCCCATGGAAATCTAGCTGGCTCGTATTGTTCGTGTGAAGAACTGAATTCGCTGACTTGCTGCCCTCTGGCTCTTTCAGCAAGCCCTGGCTATGTACCTCCCCCTGCTATCTTTGACTGTGAAGCTCTGGAAGCAGCAGCATCCATCAGTGTTGTTGGGCCAGTTAAAAAGAAGAAAACAGGTAGAGGACATTTTTTCCAAAATACTGGTACAGTTTTCAGGCAGATTCAGCAGAATTGCAACCCTAGGAGCAGGGAATGGTCAGGCTGGGTCTGTGCAGCCAGTGTCTGGTCTCTAACAGTGGCCAGCACCAGATGCTCGAGAGGAGGGTGCAGGAAACCTTGCAATAGGTGGTTATGGGATAACCTGCCTTTAGCAGAAGCTTCCCAGTAGTTGGAAGCTTCCCAGTAGCTTCAGCCTGGGGTTTGTGTCTTTCCAACCCGTATGGTATAGTATTTCCTGGAGTGCTTCTGAGCATTCCCACTGGTGTGAGGTGGTGCTCCTAACACTGTTGTGCAGATCTGTCTTGGAGAGCTGTGTCTGGGGGGGAGAGATCTCACAAGGGTGACCTCAGTGCCCTATTCTGTGTGTGGGAGGGCATCCTGACCTCCTCAGCCCCTCTGCCACCATCACCGAGTACTACTGGATCATGCCTCTCAGTCCTCAGGCTAATTCTTGGCAGGTCTAGTTCTTTCTTTCTCGGGTCATTGCTAGAGTTTCTGTTTGTTCCATGGAGTGTAGATTAGCATAGTCTGGGGCACATTCCTGCATCCATGAGCCCTAAGGCCATGCTGGGCCCTGAGCCCTGCAGGAGCTTCAAACATGTGTCTGGCTCTGGGATAACACCTGATGGATGCCCGCGTCAGGTGACCCGTGCCTGGGAGAGACTCTCTAGCACAATTTGCTGCCCTTGCAGTCCCCACATGAGAAGGGACTGTGGTCCCTCGGGGTCGAACACTCGCACAATGCTCTTGGAGAGCTGATTATTGTGCCTCAGGTGTTGGTGCAAGAGCTGTCACCACAGGGAAAGCCTTGGAAAGCTTCCCCCAGCAAATGCCATCAGGCCTTGCTGGCTCATGTCGAGTTACAAAGGAGCACTAGCAACCTGCCTTTCAAGGCCACTGCCCAGCCCTTACTGCCATCCACTCCTTAGCCTGTGACAGGAGGGCCCGTCCCTATCTGAGGCTCTGCAGGCAAAATCCCACCCTGGAATAAAAAGTGAATCAGTGCTGGCCTTCTTCCTTGTCTGTGTCTGCTCCCATGCCGAGATGACAGCAGTATTGGAGCCGGATTCCTTGCTGCTCCTCAGCTCAGCCTGCAGCATTGGCTTCCAGAGAGCAGTTTGACACCCTACCAAATTCCACCATGACTTCAAGCCTCCCTCCCCCACCTCCACCCGGCAGCCCTCATCTCCCCCTTTTACAGCCACTGGCTCACTGTTTCCTGCTCCTCAAGAAGATTCTATTGCTGGCAAGTGGGGAGGCAGGAAATGTTTGGGCACCACTGGTCTAAGTCTGCATGGATCACAGATTGGGAAACACTGGTCTAGCCAATCCCCAGAGGGTTGATCCAGCCTGCCTTTAAAAACCTCCAATGGTGGAGACTCCACAACCTCCCTAGGCAATTTATTCCAGTGCTTAACCACCCTGACAGGAAGCTTTTCCCAACGTCCAATCTAACCTTCCTTTGCTACAATTTAAGCCCATTGTTCCTTGTCTTATCCTCGTAACAACCTTTTATGTACTTGAAGACTGTTCTTGTGCCCCTCCCAGTCTCCAGATTAAACAAACCCGTTTTTTCCGTTTTTCTTCACACGCCCTATTTTCTAGACCTCTTCTCTGCACTTTCTCCAATTTGACCTGATCTTTCCTAAAACATGATACCCAGAACTGGACACAATACTCCAACTGAGGCCTGGTCAGCGCAGAGCAGAGCAGAAGAATGGCTTCTCGTGTCTTGTTCACAGAGGGATGCAGTCTAGACATGCCCCCTGTGTCCTTGCAACAGGGGCACACTCTTGACTTGAATTTAGCTTGACTAGTGTGGTCCACGTCTGCTCGGGGAAGTTACAAGCTGTTACTTTGCAGCCTAGAAATGGAGGTGATTCTCTGTTTGAGCCAACAGTAACAGACTCTCTCAGTCGTGCGTTTTTGCAGTCTGGAAAACCTTTTACGTGTAACCTCTCGGGATCAACCTTGGCCAGTAGGGATGTTTGGCAGCTGCATCGGCTCACATGAAGGGTAAACCTCTCTTTCCTCAGCTCACAGATTCCAGGCTCAATGCCCTCCTCGTTGTTAGAGAGCACCTAGCCTCTTGGGACTGAAATCCTATGAAAGTTCATGGCTTCACCTTATGAGCCTCTCTCTCCGCTCTTCTAGAGCATCACCCTTCCCTGACCCTTTCCTCCTTTGGCATGGTGATTTCTGAGATGGGGTGACTAGTCTGGAACCCATAACTCCAGGGGAGGCATTGCTACTGATTTATAGAATTGTACCGCAGAATGGTTCATTGTGGATAATACAAACATGGGGCTCAATTAAACAAAGAAGTTTAAGGGGGAAAGTTGGTTGGAGGAGTGCCTCTGATGTCCTGGGCACTGCAGTTTCAAGCTGTGGCCATGGCTATGTCCAATATAGCCTTTGGGTAGTGCTTTGTCGGCTGCTTTCCTGAGTCTGCCTTCCTGCCCCCGTCAGTGGCCTGGCTGAGCCTCGCAGAGCTCAGGGCTGGGCCTGGCCTATGGTTGTAAAACCGTTTCTCTTCCAGGAGGAAAAACCCCAAAATCTGAAGAGAGCAAAGACTCCTCTGCAGACCACTCCCAAGGCGAGGAGAACCCTGAGGGAAATCAGCCCGGAGCTGAGCCCACCCAGCTGGAGAAGGTAGCATTGGTTGGGAGAGGAACAGAAAGCCGGGAGTGGGCCTCTTCCTAGGGACAGAAATCTCCGCGCTGCTTTCTGACGTGCTCCGCCCATCTGAGCGTGGAAAGTTGGTGGCGCTTCGAGTGCCCGCTGCACATTTCTGCTCTTGTGCTGCCCTGACCAGCGAGCTGAGACCGCGGAGCCTTCCGGTAGCACTTGAGCAGATTCTAAAGATGTGGCAATAGAAGGGTGCAGGGCTGTTGCCACCTCAGTTCCTTTCAGCCCCCACAGCAAAAGAATGTGAACTCTCCGAGCCATACCTAGAGCAGGGCCTTTTGGCCTTTGACACTAGCGTGGCTGCCACCAGATCTGTTGACCAGTTGAAGAGTGTCTTGCCTCAGATCCCTGGGTTCCGGTGGGAGACATTCCAGCACTGGAGAGTAACATGTGCTTGTTTGATACGTAGGATGCCCAGCACTGTCTGTTTAGAGGCAGACCTGACACTTGTACCCGAGACCTAATCGTTTCCTAAACAGTCGCCTTCCTCTTCCACACCACTTGTCGCTCGTTGTCGTTGGGCAGCGAGTCCACTGAGCGTTTTTCTCTGGCCAAAGAGCCATAGAAGCTGGAGGTGTCAGAGCTCTCTTGGATGATCTTGTCAGTCTTCCTGGGGTGAAGGGAGGCACAGTCTCTCCAGCACACTGTGCAGTGCTTTATTCAGTTCAGAGTGGTGGTGTTTCCCCCACTTCCGCCAGAGACAATTCCTCGCCTTCTCTGCCAAGACTAGCCTGCTGCTCCACATGGGCACCGACGTGGAGACAGAATATGGGAGAAGCGTCCTAGTGAGCTGGGATCATTTAGGGGAAGTGGAGGGGAGCTGACGTGTGCTGGAGCAAATCTTGCACTCGAGGGAGGGGTGCCTCTGGCTGTTGTCACGCTGCACCCAGCAATGCAGGGGCCTGTGTTGTAGGACCAGTGTCATTACATGTAGGGTTCTTCACCAAAGCACACGTGTAGGCTTTGGTTTTATTCTGCTGCTCACAGCGCCACTCTCATTTCAGGACCCTGCTGAAAAAAAGTCAGGGATACCATCCGTGCCACTGCAGAGTTACCGTGCATTCTTCCGAGAACTAGACCTCGAGGTGTTCAACATCTTGCACTGCGGACTGCTGACCAAATCTATTTTGGACTCCGAGATGCACACGGAGGTAAGTGTGACAGAGTAAACTTGTGCCAAGGGGGGCCAGAAGGCTGTTGCAGAGCTGTAACAGGTTCATTCTCACCACGGGCGTGGGAGACTGGCCCTCCTCTGCTTAACTACACGGGTTGAGCACCATCATGGCCTATGCCCAACTGCAGAAAGTCATTGTGCTGCGTCAAGGGAAGGTGTTTGTGTCCCCACAGGAGAAGACAGGCGCCTTAGAAGGTTGTAGGACAGATAGTAACACACTAAGGGTATGTCTACACTACCCCGCTAGTTCGAACTAGGAGGGTAACGTAGGCATACCGCACTTGCAAATGAAGCCCGGGATTTGAATTTCCCGGGCTTCATTTGCATAAGCGGGGAGCCGCCATTTTTAAATCCCCGCTGGTTCAAACCCCGTGCAGCGCGGCTACATGGGGCTCGAAC